CCGCGGGTTCGGCGCCGTCCCTGCCTCTCAGGCTCCTGGGGACGTGTTTTGCAGAAATAGGAAAAGGCCACCTGATATTTTTATGGACTCTCAGGGGACTCTGAGCAGCCCAAACAAGACACGGTCCATCCACACAATGGAATATCGCTCGGCCTTAAAGAGGAAGGAAACCCTGACACAGGCTACGCTGTGGAAGGACCTGGAGGACATTGTGCTCCATAAAATGAGCCGGGCAGGGGTCAGCCGCCTGCAGCTGGCTCCGGCCTGCCCTCCCCCGGGAGCCTGGCCCGGGCAGGGGCTCCTGTTCCCATGGGTGAGCGTGGCAGGCCCAGTTCCCATGCCCGGGTCTGCCCTGGACACTGGCCCTGGACACCGGGCTGGCGCTCACGTGCCGTTCATGGGGACGGAACAGCACGTCTGCCGCCCGGCTTGTGTCTGGGGCCTGCCCGGTGTGGGAACGCCGACGCCTTCCTTTTGCAAAAATGTTCTTGCTTGTAACGGGGACCGGGGAGTGTGTCGGTGGGGGCACGTGGAGATGGTGGTGGGACAAGCGGGCATGGACTCTGTGGCGTCGTGGTGGGCACTGGTCCCTCCTCTCTCCTCAGCTCTGGGGCAGCGGCCTTGGCTGGGAGCTGGCCGAGCCCCCCAGGGCAGGGGGCACGTTCATCTGTCACCCCCGCTCTGCCCAGCCCCTGAGCAGCGTCCACCCTGTGGGCACTTGACATGGATACACTGAAGGAAGGAAAGGAGGAAGGAGGGAAGGGACAGACGGGCCGCCACCGGGCCGGCCAGGGCTCCCCGGTAGCAGGGACTCGGCCTCCTTCATCTGTTTCCCGAGAATCTTCCACAATAGGAATGAGGAGAGTCTCCCTGTGTCCCGCACACCGTGGGGCTGGTCATTCCCTTAGCAGGATGTTTTTCTTATTTCAACGCATTTTTAAATCACTAAATGCCTCCTTCAGTTGCGCCCTAAGCAGGTCTGAAGCGCGGCAGGCACCGCGGGCGAGCCCCTAAAGGAGTAACCGTGAGGAATCTCCGCGGACGGCTGCGTGACCCCCAATTTATCCTGGCCTCATGCTCCCGGGGACCCTGGCTGGGCACTCAGCTGCCCCTGCCCTGCGGGGTGGCCGCTGAGACGCAGGGTCCCCTCCGGAGGGTGAGGTGTAGGAATAATTTCAAACAATGCTAATCCCCAAATCCTGTTTGGGCCTGGAATGCGGAGCAGACCGGCTGGCTGCCGGGCTCACCGTGTCTAAGGGGCCCAGGCCCGGGGCTCTCGACGTGGCTGCTGGCACGCTGGGCCGGGCGGGAAGGAGGCCGGGCTGCTCAGGGACCAGGCGATCTCCATCCGCCCAGGTGCTGCCGGGCAGGCCGTCCCACGTGGCCAAGGCCACGCCGACCCCCCAGGGGCTCCCTGCGGCCCAGGCACTCCTGGGGCAGATATCCCAGCCTGTACAGCCATCGCCACCTCTCAGAGCCACCTGCCCCCTGGCCTGGGCCTGGGAGGGCGGGACAGGCTCACAGGAGCGGCCTTGCCACCCTGGGCTGGGCCCCGCTGCAGGGGCCCTGACTGGGCTTGACCGTCTGTTGGTGGACACTGGAGGCCTGCAAGTGGGCTGACCCCCCACCCATCTCATGGTGCCACCCCTCATCAGGGAACAACACTCCTGGGCCAAAGCACACTCATGGAATGGCAGGGCCACCCCTACTCGTTCTGAGGTTAGGGGGGCCAGCCTCAGCCTCAGTGGTCCAGACCCCACAGGGTGACCCTGCCACCCTCCTTGCCCTGGGGTGTCTCTGTCCTGGAAGGGGTGGGCCCCAAGCAAGCCCTGCAGGTGAACTCAGAGCTGCCAACAGCTGCCACCTGCCCCACTACCCCTATTCAGGCCACGGCCACGGCCACGACTCCCCACTGCCCACACAGCAGGGCCACATCTGCAGCCCCAGCCTAGGGGTCCCCCACAGGCCCAAGGCACCCATGCACCCTGCTGCTCCCAGTGCTCTGTCAGGGTGGCTCTGCTGTCAGACACCCCCAGATCCTCCACCATCTCAGTCCAGCCCTCAGGGGAGCCCCGCCTACCACACCCGTAAGGACCAGGGACTTGCCTTGGCTGCCCCTCGGATAACTGGGCTCAGCCGAGGCCCCTCTGCGTGAGGCCCTGGGTCTGCGTGCCCCATGGTCATGGATGGAGATGGCTGTGAGCTCGGCCGGCAGACGTGAGGACAGGGGCCACGCCCGCATCAGGGAGGAGGCGAAGGACCTCGCCCGCCCGGCCACTGTCCCTCAGACGAAGCAAGACTGCCTCCTGGCTGCCGCTGGCTCCACGGACGGCCTCTGATCCTGGCTGGGCACCAGGACTGGGGTTCAGACCCAAGCATTTACCACCCGCCAGAGGCCAGAAGCGCAGACACTGGGACACGCAGGGTCCGAGCAGCCAACCAGCACCACCACCCCCGCCAATACAAGTGGTGGGCATCGGGGTGGCTCTCAGCAGTAATGTTTGTGTAATTTAGAATTCTTATTAAAGAGAGTTCCTCAAAAACACCCAATTAAAAAACGGGCAAAGGTCTTGAACAGGTATTTCTCCCAAGAAGACATACAAATGGTCAGTAAGCCCACGAAAAGATGCTCGACATCCCCGGTCATCAGGGGGAAAACCAAACCCTCAGGGAGCCACCGCCTCCCACCCACCAGGATGGCTCTGCCAGAAAGACCAGGATCAG